AATCAATATTTTTTAATCATATGTTTTTTTGTTTATTTTTTTTACACTTTATGAATAGTATTTCTTAGGTTAAATAACAAACAAGTTTTTGGAATTGATTTTTTTTCATAAAGGTGTTTAAAATAACTCTTATTTTTGGTCTCTGGGCGAAACAACATTTGGTTTTTGCACCACGATAATGCACCGTCACACACTGCGCTGATTATTCGTGATTTTTTAGCCAAAAACTCGACTAATATCGTTCCACAACCACCGTATTCACCTGATTTGGCTCCATGCGACTTCTGGCTATTCAGCAAACTGAAGCGGCCGCTCCGGGAACACCGTTTTGAGTCAATAGAAGAGATTCAAGCCGCTGCGAAGGAGCTAAAAGCCATTCCTGAAATCGATTATTACAAGTGTTTCGAAGATTGGAAAATCCGTTGGAATAAGTGTATTATATCAGGGGGGAATTACTTTGAAAGGGACGAAATTGATTTGCAAGAATAAATAAAGAATTTTTGAAATAAATGCAATGTCACCTTACTTTTTGGACACAGTAGTACACAAGTGGCCGACTGCACATCTTACATGAAACTTTTTGTTCGCTTCTAGAGCGGACCTACAAATAGCTGAAACTGCGTTTGCTTTGTGGGCAGCAAATTTATCGCTGACTTTTACACGCAGCGTCCACAATCCTAACATTGTGATTTTATATAAAGGTAGACGGCACACTATGTGGGATAAGCATTACTCGGATACTATGTGTCCGTTTGACTTTGATGGTCGTGGTGGTGTACTCGCTCACGCGTATTATCCCAACGGAGATCTCAACCATGTCTCTGAGATACATATCGACAATGAAGAACAGTGGCATGTGCAGCTCACTGAAAATCCATGGAATAAGGATCATTTGTTGCACACACTGACTCATGAAATCGGACATGCTATAGGAATAGAGCACAGTCCATATGATAATTCAGTAATGTACGCGTTCGGGCCTGTTAAACAGTGGCCTGTTACGCTNAGTTTGGATGATGTTCTGGCTGTGCAAAACCATTATGGACCTAACCCGAATGCACCTGAACTACCGGTCTCTACATTTGTCCCTCCAACGGTCGCACCGACAACGACGACAACAACGACGCCGCAGCCGTCATTGCCGCGTAAACCCAAGCCGCTACCACCTAGGCATGTGTGCGAAGTGCGCAATCCTGATGTAATACTTTTGATGAAAACTATTACGATCATTGCGTATGATAAATATGTGTATATAGCCTCTTCAAACTGGGGCCCGCATATTTATCCACATCTGTTGAAAGAATATTTGCGCTTTCTCCCATCCAATTTTACAAAGCTGGATGCGGCTTATCAACAATCATCCGGCAAGCTCGTGCTCTTCACCGATGGTTATGTGTACTTGGTTTCCTATCCTAGTTTACAATTGCAAGATGGTTGGCCGCGCAGTTTTTCTGAGATTGGATTGCCTAGTGATGCCGTCATTAACACCGCGTTTCAATCTTCTATGGGACACACTTACGTCATATTCAACAACGACTCTGTGGCTGTTGTAGATNATTGTAGCGTGCGGATTAAGGAATACAACAAATTGAAATTAACGTTTCTAGGAGTTCCACCGAGTATGTCGTTGGCCTTTCGTAATGCAGATGGTTTTGTGTACTTTCTGTACTCTGAAAGATATCTCACGTTCAGCAAATTCACCAGTTTCATGCACTCTGCGGGACCTTTTAATATGCGTTTAATTGATATTCATTGTCCGGATATAAACATCTTATACAACTTAAAGTCCCTAGTTTCTCAACTTGAAAAGTATGAACACGCTCTTCATTCAGAGTAGATGTAGTATGTGTGCGCGTTGAGAGTGGGGGTATTTGCTTTATTATTTTATGTGAGGGATATATAAACCGCTACATGGCAACCGTACTGTCAGTCAGTCATTCACCCTCGTTGTGATCGTTCTGTGTGCTACGGGTTGTCGATCTTTCTCCTCTTCGCAAAGAACAGCTCAACGATGTTTCGCTCGATGGTTCCGATGAAGCAACAACAACAACAACCTTCTATCGATCTTCAGCGCGAGCCTCAACACAACGGTGTAAAAAGAAAGAAATTTGATCATGGATAAGTATTTTTTTTTTATTTTTTTATTTTTGCATTCTTTTTGTTGCTTCTATTTTTATTATTTTGTTTAATTCACGATAGAATCATGTTTAGTTGTCTTATTTACAGACAATGCAATAGCATCCAACCAACACAACCTATGCGGATACTGAGTCGCAAGTACATATTAACCAAGACGGGATATAAATATTTCGAGCTCGGCATCGGTATCTCATCCAA